TATTTATTCAGATTTGACACTATGAGATTTATCAAATCACAATTTTAAAAAAAATTGACCCTTATGACTGGTTTTGTGGTCCAGGGTCACACACAGACACCCATATATATATATATATATATAATTTGTTTACATTTTATTATTATTATTTGTTTAGATTTATTATTCCTAAGTTAAAACACAGTATTTATAAATATTTTAATATATTTTAATGTATTTTATTTATTTTTTTACTAATAAAATATGAGAATAACATTAAAACAGACAGAAAACTGCATTTTAAATAAGTGTCTGAAAGGAGTACCTGCCACTTCCAGCTCCACTGACAGCATCTGAGATGTATTAGTTATGACACAGTGGTACATCCCAGCGTCTTCCTCTCTGGTCTGACTAATTTTAATTGCCCAGTCCTTTTCTTCAGGGCTGATGTTCCAGAAAATCCTGTGAGGTGTCTTGTCCTCCTCCTCTTGGTCATCTGTGTCTTTGTCGAGCTTGAGAAGCCTCGCACCATTTTCGGTCTCTCGTTTCCAGACAACAGGAGGGTTTTCGGTCTCTCCGGAAGAGAAAATCGTAGCAACCTTGCATGGAAGTGTCACATCATTCCCAGCTACTTCTTTGACGACCTGCCATTCCTGAAAGCGTGGGGGTGCTAAGAAAGAAGAAAGGGTTCAGTTAGTTAATTGACCTCGGAGATTAAAAGTCATCAATGCAACAAAACCTTCTAACCTTCCACACGTATTGTGAATGTTCTGCTCAACCTCATACGATCCTCTGCTTTATAGCCATCCTGAACACACTTGTACTGGCCTTCGTAGGTGGTATTTATGTTTCTGAGGTTCAGGAGTTTTCCTTTCTCCTCAAGTGTGTGCTGCTGCTGTGTGTGAGCAGACGTGAAGCTCCAGGTGTATGTGGGGTCAGCCAGCACAGGGGCATCATCAGGAAGACAAGAAAGGAGAATGCCGGAGTTTAGCAGAACAGTGATGTCGCAGGTAGACAGGGAAAGCTGAAGAAAGGGGAGATTGTAAACCCACCATTAAAATGTTGTGGTCCATATGATATGAATGTAGGGTGTTATATATGCAAGTCCTCTGAAGGCAGTGAGGAACAGACTGACTTTTTTTTTTTTTTTTATTACACTGAATGAAGTCAAGCTAGTTTGGAACAACATGAAGGTGAGTAAAAGACAGGAATTATTTAATTTAACTTTTGGGTGAACTGTCTACATTAGACACATCAAAAGTCATCCTGTTGTTGTTAAGAGGTAATGTCATTTTTATCATTACTATTACCGTTATCAATATTTATAAATAGTTTTATTTTCCGTTTTCTTTTAAAATTTTAATTAAAAGTGTCAATTTGATTTTAAAATAATAATTTTGAATTTAAACTTTTTTGGTGTGTTTTGTCATTTGTATTAGTTTTTTTATGTCTATATAATTTAAAAAATTTTAGTATTAGTTATTTTAGTACATCAAGTTATACTAAATGATGTTGGCAACTTGAGAGAGAGATTAAGTTCTATGGTTTTAGTTTTAGTTAAAGGAGACATATTATGCCCCTTTTTACAATATGTAGGCTAATATAAGTCTCTGGTGTCCCCAGAATGTGTCTGTGAAGTTTCAGCTCAAAATACTCCACAAATCATTTATTATATCATTTTGAAAATGCCTATTTTGTAGGGCTGGGTAAACAATATCGATATCTCGATTTTAATCGATTCTTAAATCCCAAGAATCGATTAGTCTAGCCTGTTTTCAGTTAATGGATGAAACATTGAAGGGCACTTCCCATCCAATATATCGCAATAAGCATTGTGCTTTAATACTTTTAATACGAAACAAAGTCTCAGATTTCAAATTTTGTCCATTGTATTGCAGTATTTAAACAATAAATGCGTCACATTTACCTCAGAAAAACATATTCGGTGACCATAAACTCATTAGTAAGTTAGAAAAATAAACTGTAGATATAACTGCTAAATATATGCACCATATAACATATTCATAATTTTTGCTGTTCTTCAATGTTTAGTAATTTATGTTTGAATAAATCCATCAAGTTTTTGACAGCCACCATTTAAATGTTTATATTTCAAAAAACGAATTGAAGTAGAAGCAGGCTATTATTATGTAGATAATTGTAACGTTATTATTTTAAAAACTTCATTAAGTGTAATTTTAGCAGTTGTATATTAGCCTACAAATCAGTCAGTTTTAACCTTCAATATTATAGTAATGTAGTACCAATTGACTCTCATGTATATTTTACAGCATTAGTTAAGAGATTTTTTTTCCTTGAGAAAATTTGGCAT